CACAACAACACAACACAACACAACACAGACACAACACAACACAACACAACACAACACAGACACAACACAACACAGACACAACACAACACAACACACAACACAGACACATCACAACACAACAGACACAACACAGCACAGACACAACACAACACAGACACAACACAACACAACACAACAGACACAACACAACACAACACAGACACATCACAACACAACAGACACAACACAACACAGACACAACACAGACACAACACAACACAGACACATCACAACACAACACAACACAACACAACACAACACAGACACAACCAGACACAACACAACACAGACACATCACAACACAACAGACACAACACAGCACAACAGACACAACACAACACAGACACATCACAACAAAACAGACACAACACAATACAACACAACACAACACAAAACAACAAACACACACAGCAGACAGGACACAACAGACACAACACAACACAGACACATCACAACACAACATCACAACACAACACAACACAACACAACACAACACAACACAGACACAACACAACACAGACACATCACAACACAACAGACACAACACAGCACAAGACACAACACAACACAGACACATCACCAACAGACACAACACAACACAACACAACACAACACAACAAAAAACAACCGACACAACACAACAGACACAACACAACACAACACACACAACCCAAAATACAGACACAACACAACACAACACAAAACAACCGACACAACACAACACAAAAACAACCAACACAACACAACACAACACAACACAACACACACATACACACACACACAACACAACACAGACACACCTCTAGAGTATAATGTCACACATACACATCAACACTATACAGTACACTGCTACACTCACTAGCACCACCACACTGACTTATACTATGTACGTAAAGAGGGGGTTAGGGTGGGGGAGGGGGAGGGAGGGAGGTAGTGAGGGAGAGGGGGGTGGTGAGGGAGAGGGTGAGTGGGGAGAGGGGTGAGTGAGGAGGGGTGAGTGAGGGGAGAGAGGTGGTGAGGGAGGGAGGTGAGTGAGGGAGAGGGGTAGTGAGGGAGGGGGATGAGTGAGGAGAGGGAGGTGAGTGAGGGAGGGGGTGAGTGAGGGAGAGGGAGGTGGTGAGGGAGAGAGGGGGGTGAGTGGGGGAGAGGTAGTGAGGGAGAGGGAGTGGTGAGGGAGGTGAGTGAGGGGAGGGGGTGGTGGGGAGAGAGGGGAGTGAGGAGGGGGAGTGGTGAGGGAGAGAGAGGGAGGTGAGTGAGGGGAGAGGGGGTGGTGGGGGAGGGGGGTGGTGGGGAGAGGGAGGTAGTGATGGGGGAGAGAGGTGAGTGAGAGGGAGGGAGGTAGTGAGGGAGGTAGTGAGGGAGGGAGGTGGTGAGGGGAGGGAGGTGGTGAGGTGGTTTGGGTTACATTAGGTTGGGATGGAAGGATGGGAGAGATAGTTAGCAGGTTGGGGGGGGAAGGGAGGTGGGGGAAGGAGGGGAGGTGGGGGTAATAAGGTTGGATGGTTCAGTAAGGGACTCCACCCAGGGGTGTGTGGTGGGTGACGGTGTGTGTGTGTGTGTGTGTGTGTGTGTGTGTGTGTGTGTGTGTGTGTTTGTGTGTGTGTGTGTGTGTGGTGTGTGTGTGTGCTACCTCATGACTCTCTCTCTCCCCCAGGCTGCACCTCTCCGCCCCAGCCGTCTGCTAGTTGGTGAGTAAAAACATTGTACAAAAGATTAATAACACAATTATAACCTGACCTAACCTAACCTAATTTATATACAACTTAAAACCTAACCAAACCAAACCTAACCTAAACTAAGCTAATTTACTCTGACTTAAACCAAACCTAACCAAACCTAACCTAACCTAAACTAACCTAATTTACTCTGAATTAAACCAAACCTAACCAAACCTAACCTAAGCTAAACTAACCTAACCTAACCTAACCTAACCTAACCTAACCTAACCTAACCTAAACTAACCTAACCTAACCTTTCTCTCTCCTGCACTACACCTGACATTTGTACACCTGTGGTTTATTCAGCTGGGATGGAGGAGGGTAAATTAGCTAACTTTTGTAAGCTAAGAATATTCTCACTCTTAATAAACTTCTTAACCTAACCTAATCAAACCTAACCAAACCAAACCTAACCTTACCTAACCTAACCTAACCTAACCTAACCTAACCTAGTTGAGTGTGTGTGTTTCAAAATGGCATAGTCGTCTCTCTCTCTCTCTCTCTCTCTCTCTCTCTCTCTCTCTTCTTTTCTTTTTTTTGTATTATAATCACCCCCAGGACCACCACACTCTGTTATATCTTGTTTAGCTGTGTGGTGTATCTCCTGCCAGCCGCACCTCAAGGCACTTGAAAACTTTCACCAACGTAATCTACGTTCCATCCTCCGTGTTCGCTGGGAAGACAAGAGAACAAACGCCAGTATTCTTGCTGACACCAACTGTAGGAGCATCGAGGCTACCATTATCCATGAACAACTACGTTGGACTGGCCATGTTACCCGCATGGACGACAGTAGACTGCCAAAGCTGCTAATTTACAGTCACCTAACAGATAGTAAACGTAACGCTGGCGGGCAACTGAAAAGGTATAAGGATAGTCTTAAGACAAACCTGAAAAAGTGCCAAATCGACCCCTTCACCTGGGAGACGATTACTCCACACCGTAACGCTTGGAGGAGCACCACACGAGAAGATGTCAATATTTCAAGTTAGCCCAATTGCAAACCGAGGCAGACAAGGGCCAATGCCGGAAAGACGCTGCCGTCGCCCCTCCCGCACTCGATGTAGCCCTCCACATGTGCAACATCTGTGAATAACTCTGCCGGTCCCGTATCGGCCTCTCTAGTCACTCAAAACTCACCAATGAAGGTGACATCCTTAATAACTCACACCATTGTATCATAGCTGGATGATCGTCATACTCGATTCCGAGTGACAGCAAAGTAAAGTAGTAGTAGTGTGTGTGTGTCCGTGGGAGACAAGAGGTGTGTATAGGTAATAACTTAACCATAGCAGGACTAGTTAATGCCACGCCATGATCACTCTCGGCGGGGTAGTTGTATTGATTCTTAGCCACTGTGTCAGTTGTTCCACCACTGCGCCTCTTGCTTCTTCCCGCACCTCCTCCTCATCTCTCCTTCACTAATTCAAACGTCTTCTTCCTCTTAAAGAAAAGGCTAAAAGCTTCTCTCTCACCCACCCACCCACCTACATATCCACCCTACCACACACACCCTACCACACCACTCCCCTCCCCCACCCATCCACACCATACCACCCTCTCAGTCTTTCAATCTTTCAGTCTTTTCGCCATAGTTAAGCTCATTACAGGAGGTAGTTAGAGTCGAGTACTGAATTAGTGTTGTGATAATTAAGGCCTTGAAATACCTCCCGTCATTTTGTTGTATTTTTGTGAGTTTCTCAGATTTTTGGTTTTCTGTTTCTCTCTCGTGTAATAATTAATATCTTACTCAAACGGACTCATTCCTCGTACTCAGGGTAATAAGAATTGTACTCAAGAACTGAAATAATTACTGGACCCAATTCTCGTCCTCAGTGAAATTAGCATCGTATTCAAAGAGAATCTTTCTTCGTACTCAGGGTAATAAGCATCGTACTCAAGAACTCAAAATAATCAACGGACTCATTCATCGTATTCCAAACAGCCAGACATAACACTCACATCGTCACTTGAGGACAATAAGAGACCAGTTTATATATGATACATCTATTATGAAAAAATAATTATCACAGCAAAACATGAAACAAATTAATGAGATGTTGGGTGAGACGGTGACGTACAGGTAGAGGCTCACTTACTACCTCATTAATTATCTTAACATGAAATAAACTATTACGAACATCACCATAGCCATAATAATAATAATAATGATAGTAATAATAATAACAAAGATAATAATAATGATAGGAATAATAATAATAATAATAATAATAATAATAATAATAGTAATAATAATAATAATAATAATGGTATTGATAATAATAACAAAGATAATATATGATAGAATATATATATAATATATTGATAAGTAATAATAATAATAATAATAATAATAATAATAATAATAATAATAATAATAATAGTAATAATAATTAGTCAAGTTAATCTTGCCTATACGGAATTAATACTAATTTTTGATCTGCTGAGAAGGGCTAAAAATTTATACCCTCGTTAACGTCACCCTCTATCGACAAATCACAGTACCGAGAGTAGGATGTGCTAGTGTGATGGCTCCTGTATGGTGGTTTAGAACCGTGAGGTATCCAATGAGAACATTCACAAGTGCTGAGAGAACTATAGGACAAAAATAATACTAAAAACATTCACAAATACTCAAAGAAATATAGAACAAATATTAAAAAAAACAAATCCCAGGTACTTTAGGATATTGTGGTTAATAAGGTGAAGCAGAACGACATTTGACTGGTGGCTGACGTGAATGGATTCTATAATTAAAAAGTGTATAAGTGAATAAATTGACTGTTTATTATGTGACGTAGTGTTGACTGGTTGAAATGCCAGTGACTGGATCAAGACACTGAAACAATGACAGTCTGGGCATATGGCTGACTGTTTGGTTAGACTGGAGGAAGCACGAATGTTAACAATGGTGGGGTGAGACACAAGTGGGGAGTGACTGGTGGGGGAGTGACTGGTGGAGGAGGTATCTGGTGGGGAGTGACTGGTGGGAGTGATTGGTGGGGTGACTGGTGGAGGTGACTGGTGGGGAGTGACTGGTGGTGGAGGAGTGACTGGTAGGGAAGTGACTGGTGGGGAGAGCTGGTGGGGGTGTAACTGGTGGGGTGTAACTGGAGGGTGTAACTGGAGGAGTAGTGGATTGGGATTAAGTTAAATTGGGTTAGGTTAGGTGAGGATATAGGTGGGGTTTATATAATTTGGTAACACAGAGAGAGAGAGAGAGAGAGAGAGAGAGAGAGAGAGAGAGAGAGAGAGAGAGAGAGAGAATGACCACAGAAGACCTTTTATAACAAGAAAGATTTACTTCTTTATATTAGTAATATTCTCCCTAAGTGTTATGAAAACATTATATTATTGGAATACCAGTTTATATATGTATATATATACATTTACAGTGTATATATACTGTATATGTGTGTATATAAACTAGATAAAATTACTAGAGGTTAAAACTAAGGGTGACAGACGTTGTTATAAAGATCTATCTATAAGTCACTAAGATCCCTAACACGACAGTACTCAATCTGAGGCGACCAATACCTTCTAAAATTATCACTAAGTTAATAATAAAATCCTTCATGATGTTGAGTACTCTTATGTTGGCTACGTGATTACAGAGTTAAGTACAATACTAACGTAGTCAGGTTCCTCTTATCCAGTCCAAAACGATGGAGAATTTAACTCTTTTTTTTTAAATCTCAAATTGTTGTTCAATATACAGGATTGGTATTAAGAATTAACAATACTCTTTAGTTCATTAATGTTTTCTATTAGATATTTCAGACTTAACAAACGATGCAAGACTGTAGTACTATTACTAGTAGTAGTTACAACTGGAAGTAGTGTATTGTATTGAGTCAAGGCTTCACAACCTGTCTTTGGACTGGCCAGGAAGGAACATTGACTACAAATGCATGATTTATGAGAATTTATGAAGACATATTTATGCCTAATGACTGACGTGCAATATTATATACATCTTTGGCATGTAGGACTAATGTGACGTTCTCAGTAAGAGTTGGAACACCAAATGAGAATCCTCCTTCGTGGGTCATCTGCTGTCTTGTAGAGGTTCATTCACCAACACATTGAGTTACTGTGTCTCAGCTTACTAGCCACCCTGGCGCTCACCAACAGCCGTGGAACTCTTTCTCTGGTCTTTTTGACACAAGGATTGAAGACTATCTTAGTTGTCTACCACACCAGGTGGTGGTCGCCAGCTGCTGCAGGGAGCGCTAGTTACAGTACCACGATGGTATAGAAAGAGCGTAGCTTAAATAAGTACAAAATTTCTCGATACAGTGAAGTACAAGAGTACCATATAAGTACATCACAAGTACCAAAAGCATGATAATAGTAAATACCATAATATTTAAAGCACAGTGGTACCCTCTGTACAGCAGTACAGTGGTACATAATAGTACAGTACTTTGCGCACAATAGTATCGTGGTAACGTGTGTACACCAGCAGGCCTCCCTGCACTGCAGTACAGTAAGAGGTGTGAAGACAAGGTACACTGTTAGTTGTGTGTTGGTCACAACAGTCCCATGGCGGCGATAATGACCAGCGCCGAGTTGGTCACACACTAACTACTTATAACCTTTCATTGTCCTTTTAACATAACTATATTAACTCTGGTGTTCTTAACTGCCCCAGGATCATCTGCACATCTTACAAGAATAAATATCTTTGGGTTATGAGACTACCAACACCAGCAGTCATCTCTGACCATAGGTTGTTGTTACAGTAATTACTTTTAAAGTCTCTTGGGCAGGTGAAAATGACGCCACAGCCTCAAGTTATAGTTGTGGCGTGGAGAGAACAAGAGATGGGTTTTATCTCTGTTAGCAGGATGGATCACCTCAACATTAGTCTTCTTTCACCTCTTGTCACCCAAGTAGACTATATCACCTGTTCTTAAGAGTCCCAGCAGAGTAAAGCTGTGAGGATCTCCTATAACTCGTCCTCGTCACCCCAGCCATCTTCACTATTGATATAATTACATAACTATTACCACTAAAAAGTTGACTAAATAAAACATTGATCTACTTACATCAGATTACAAATACTTACGAAAATGTCTCTATAACATAACCACAACGTCTACCATGTTGAGTGTTAAAGAACCTTATCATACTCATGTATACATTGAGCGAAAATTTATGGATGTTACATTTATATTGGACGTCTTCAGCACCATAAATGGTTTTACTATTGTTGCAACAAGTCCTCAACCTTCTCCGAGTCGACACAAACCATTAAAACTTTTAATATAAAAATATCGATAACGGCCATTCATAACGGATAAAATATAATATACTTTCTACAACCGCAACCACCACCACTATCACCACCACTATCACCACCACTATCACCACCACCAGCTCTCACGGAAGAAAACAACTGTTCGCTAAACCTTTACTCCAACGTTGTTCTCGCTGTTGTATAATAACTCATCAGACTTAGTCTTTTATCGTGAACCTTGAGAGAGGTGACTCGTGCTCTCCCTCCCAGCCAGAGTCCTGTCAGGGCTTCATACTGAACAACTATTATACTGTTTTTTTGTTCTTTTGGTTCACTGCTTCTAGAAACTTGCAGTCAATAACCAGACAAGTTTGTGTTGGTCACAGTCTTAGTCAGTGGACCCGGGAGGTGGTACAGCAGCCATCAGTGTGTCTAGTAGAAACATTCTCACGTCCCCGAGCAGGTCACTGCCACCTACTGATGCTTCCTTAGCGTCAAGACTTCACCATTATTAAACGGTGTTGTCCTGTGTGAACTGGAGTGTGGTCGCGGTCAAGGAGGTGTGGTGGGCGTCTCCTCCCTCCAGGTCGTCCTCAGTAAACACTGCCACCTCTGTGATGGCTACCCAGGATTTCTGCTTCATGCCGATGGCTATTCTGAGGCACTGAATACCTTTGTGGTGCGTCTCCCTCAGGCTCCTGACGTCTAACTCACCATTCTTGAATTCCCCGACAGATGAGAAACTCTTACACAAGGCCCGTTTGGGGGTCTCCATCTTGACGAAGGTTGAGGACACCTCCAAGCTGCCGTACAGAAGGCGGTCACGAATCTGTAACACACGGTTTAATTAGTTCGTCTCTTAATTGTAGATAAAATTACAGTTAATTCATTCATCTTTAAATAATGTCTCACTGACTCGTGCACCTCCTTCCTGTGTTCAACTCTCATTCAAAATTATTTTTCACTGTGTACAATTTCTTGTTAAACAAATCCTTGATATAGTCTTCTGATACACACACACACACACACACACACACACACACACACACACACACACTCGACAGGTTAGGGTACCGCACTACCGCAGGGGTGGTTAATCTTAAGGTGAAATAAGCTGAGGGCTAATAATCAGATGACCCGAAAATAGTAACGAAATCTCAGCAGTGTGGGAACCCTGATGCTTTAACATGTTACTATAAAACACTTCCATACTCTACTTCACCTTCTTGTTAATGGCGGCCCCAGTGAGCACCACCACCCTGGAGATCTTGAGGGGCTCGGAGAACAGGATGTCGAAGGTGTCGCCTGGCTTAGGTATACCCCAGAACATGCCCGGGGCGGAGGAGTACGCGTGCTCCGCCAGGTAGGCCTTGTACTGGCGGATCGTCGTCACCACGTCGGCTGTTGGGTTGACGTGGGAGAACCGACGCTTCACCAGGCTAGAAAATAGGACGTAAAGTTATTGATCTGCGGCGACGATTGTGTTAGTGTGTTTACTTTACTTAAGAGGGGGTGTTACTTAAAGGGAGCGTGTGTTTACTTTACTTAAGAGGGGTGTTACTTAAAGGGAGCGTGGGTTTACTTTACTTAAGAGGGGTGTTACTTAAAGGGAGCGTGTGTTTACTTTACTTAAGAGGGGTGTTACTTAAAGGGAGGGTGGGTTTACTTTACTTAAGAGGGGGTGTTACTTAAAGGGAGCGTGGGTTTACCTGAAGGTGTTGTCCTTGAGTGACTGGGTCTTGTTGGCCAGGGTGGAGTGGACGCCAATGTGCTGGAAGAGGCCGGGGACCCTCCTGGTGGGGCGGTCTTTGGGGGGCTTCTCCGGGGCCATGAGGTTGATCCACTGGTTGATTAGAACGTCGACGGGATGCTCGCGGTAAAACAGCAACAAGAACGACACCAGACGGTCGAGGTCACTACACCGAACTAACTGACCGATACCCAAGAACCCGGCCAGCTGAAACACAACAGTAATGGTATAGTGACTCTCCTAACCTAATCTAACCTAACCAAACACAATCCATCCCAACCTAACCTAACAACCACCTAACCTAACCTAACCAAACACAATCCATCCCAACCTAACCTAACCTAACCTAACCTAACCAAACACAATCCATCCCAACCTAACCCCTAGACTCTTGGATTCTTAAAGGTTCGCTGAATAAATATCTCTCGTAACTGAAGATGTAAGAACACTCTTAGCTGATTGACTTGAGGTAACCCTCTGAGGACTATGTTTTAACCCTTTGAGGACGATGTTTAACCCTTTGAGGACGATGTTTAACCCTTTGAGGACTATGTTTTAACCCTTTGAGAACGATGTTTAACCCTTTGAGAACGATGTTTAACCCTCTGGGGACTATGTTTTAACCTTTGAGAACGATGTTTAACCCTCTGAGGACTATGTTTTAACCGAGACGATGTTTTAACCCTTGAGAACGTGTTTTAACCTTTGAGGACTATGTTTTAACCTTTGAGAACGATGTTTAACCCTTTGAGAACGATGTTTTACCCTCAGGCTATGTTTTAACCCTTCTCCTTTGAGAACGATGTTTTAACCCTCTGAGGACTATGTTTTAACCCTGAGGACTATGTTTACCTTTGAGACGATGTTTCCTCTGACGACTATGTTTTAACCTCTGTATGTTTCTTGAGGACGATGTTTAACCCTTTGAGAACGATGTTTAACCCTTTGAGGACTATGTTTTAACCCTTTGAGGACGATGTTTAACCTTGAGGACTATGTTTTAACCCTTTGAGGACGATGTTTAACCCTTTGAGACGATGTTTAACCTCTGAGGACTATGTTTTAACCCTCTGAGGACTGTTTTAACCCTTTGAGGACGATGTTTAACCCTTGAGGACGATGTTTTAACCCTCAGAGGACGATGTTTAACCCTCTGAGGACTATGTTTTAACCCTTTGAGGACTATGTTAACCCTTTGGGACTATGTTTTAACCCTTTGAGAACGATGTTTAACCCTCTGAAGACTATGTTTTAACCCTCTGAGGACATGTTTTAACCCTTTGAGGACTATGTTTTACCCGAGAACGATGTTTAACCCTCTGACGACTATGTTTTAACCCTCTGAGGACTATGTTTTAACCCTTTGAGGACGATGTTTAACCCTTTGAGAACGATGTTTTAACCCTTTGAGGACTATGTTTAACCCTCAGGACTATGTTTTAACCCTTTGAGGACTATGTTTTAACCCTTTGAGGACTATGTTTTAACCCTTTGAGAACGATGTTTTAACCCTCAGAGGACTATGTTTTAACCCTTTGGGGACGATGTTTAACCCTTTGAGGACTATGTTTTAACCCTTTGAGAACGATGTTTTTAACCCTTTGAGGACTATGTTTTAACCCTTTGGGAACGATGTTTAACCCTTTGAGAACGATGTTTTAACCCTCTGAGGACTATGTTTTAACCCTGAGGACTATGTTTTACCCTTTGAGAACGATGTTTAACCCTCTGGACGACTATGTTTTAACCCTCTGAGGACTATGTTTAACCCTTTGAGGACGATGTTTAACCCTTTGAGGACTATGTTTTAACCCTTTGAGGACGATGTTTAACCCTTTGAGAACGATGTTTAACCCTCTGAGGACTATGTTTTAACCCTCTGAGGACTGTTTTAACCTTTAGGGACGATGTTTAACCGCTTGAGGACGATGTTTTAACCCTCAGAGGACGATGTTTAACCCTCTGAGGACTATGTTTTAACCCCTTTTGAGGACTATGTTAACCCTTTGTGGACTATGTTTTAACCCTTTGAGAACGATGTTTAACCTCTGGAAGACTATGTTTTAACCCTCTGAGGACTATGTTTTAACCCTTTGAGGACTATGTTTTACCCTTTGAGAACGATGTTTAACCCTCTGGACGACTATGTTTTAACCCTCTGAGGACTATGTTTTAACCCTTTGAGGACTATGTTTTACCCTTTGAGAACGATGTTTAACCCTCTGGACGACTATGTTTTAACCCTTTGAGGACTATGTTTTAACCCTTTGAGGACGATGTTTAACCCTTTGAGAACGATGTTTAACCCTTTGAGGACTATGTTTAACCCTCTGAGGACTATGTTTTAACCCTTTGAGGACTATGTTAACCCTTTGTGGACTATGTTTTAACCCTTTGAGAACGATGTTTAACCCTCTGGAAGACTATGTTTTAACCCTCTGAGGACTATGTTTTAATCCTCTGAGGACTATGTTTTAACCCTTTGAGGACTATGTTTTAACCCTTTGAGGACTATGTTTTAACCCTTTGAGAACGATGTTTTAACCCTCAGAGGACTATGTTTTAACCCTTTGGGGACGATGTTTAACCCTTTGAGGACTATGTTTTAACCCTTTGAGGATTATGTTTTAACCCTTTGAGGACTGTTTTAATCCTCGAGGACTCAAAGGGTTAAGACAAAGGTAATATAACGTTTAGAAAAATTAAATAAAAATAACAAGGAGACTGAATTAGATAGATACGTTCACTTTACATCAGTTAGGGGGTAAGAGGTGTGGTGTGTCGTGGTGAAGTGTGGTGAGTAGTGTGGTGAGGTAGTGTGGTAGTAGTAGTAGTAGTAGTATAGTAGTAGTAGTAGTAGTAGGTCTGCTTTGCTCTGCTTCAGGGAAACGAGAGCATCGGCCTCAAAGCCGACAACAGGCCCCGATGTGGGTCAGTGATCTGTGCCCAGGTGGGCTAATACCCGTAAAAAAAAAAAAAGTCACAGAATGCCGCATAGATCTGCGGCTCAACTAACTCAACACAGATAGGATAGCTACATATGTATTAGGATATTTAATATTAAGGTAATTAAATGGTGGCGAAGGTGTGGCTATTGGGGGAGGCTGGAGGCCATATTTAAAAAAAAAAAATAAAAAAAAAAATAGTAGTAGTAGTAGTAGTAGTAACAAATTGGCCCCGTAGCAAGTGATCTCTGCACTACAATCGCCGCCCTTGCAAGAAAGCTAGCAACCTCGTATTGCCAACACCTCCATGCTCTGACGGCCTGCTGCCTTATTCCCTTGGATAAGAATCCAGGATGTAGGCCTATAGGGGTGGGGGAAGTCCTGAGGCGGATCATCGGAAAATGCATAATGGAGGTGGCAAAGGATGATGTCAGGGCAGCAGCAGGGAACCTGCAAGTGTGTGCTGGCCACCAGGCTGGAGGGGAAGCCGCCATTCACTCCATGAGAAGGATATTTGAGCAGCTTGATTGTGAGGCCATTCTCCTGGTGGACGCTTCAAACGCATTCAACATACTTAACTGCAAGGCCGCACTGCACAACATCAACTGAGGGAACAACGCAGTAGGACCCTGTTGCAATGGCAATGTACGCAATAGGCCTATCCGTGCTCCAACACACAATAAAATTTGAAACAACTGAGGTCAAGCAAGTGGCGTACGCTGATGACCTTACAGGAGCAGGAAAAGTGGAGGACATCAAAAAGTGGTGGGACCTGGTAACATCACGAGGCCCACAAATAGGGTACCACCCAAACGCCAGCAAGCCCTTCCTCATTGTGAAGCTAGAACATTATGAACGGGTAATGTAGGTGTTCGGTGGAAGTGAGGTCAAAATAACGAAGGATGGCCGAAGACACCTAGGCGCAGTATTCGGCACGACGGACTTCAAGACCGAGTACGTAACGGGAAAGGTGAATGAGTGGGTTAGGGAAATCCAAGCTCTGTCTGAGATCGCTAACTCAGAGCCACATGCGGCTTTTGCGGCATTCACCCAGGCAGTCAAGCATCGCTGGAACTACCTGATGCGCACTATCCTTGATATCGGACCCCTCCTCCACCCTCTGGAAGAAGCTATCAGCGTCAATTTAATTCCCAAATTAGTAAAACACCCTCACTTAACCCAGGCAGAAAGATCACTCCTTGCACTACCACCGAGACTGGGAGGTATGGAGTTGACCAATCCAGAGGAGATCGCTGCCACCGAACATCAAAACTCAGTTAAACTCACGGCAGCCCTCACGGATCACATAATAGCTCAGAACGCAACAGGGGAGGTGGATACCAGTGAAGTAAACAAGATTCGAAGGTCCATTACGACAGAACGACAGCACAGCCAAAGTGATAAGTTGCAGCAACTATTGCTGCAAGTACCAGAGAATTTAAAAAAAAGGTAGCTATAGCGCAGGAGGTGGGTGCCTGTGGGCGCCTCGAACTGGTTAACTAAGTTACCGATAAAGGCAAATGGTTTCAGCCTCAATAAACAAGAATTTACAGATACCAATGCTCTAAGGTACGGCAGGCCAGTAGAAGGTTTGCCCTCCCAATGCGTGTGTGGCTTTTCCTATGACGTCGATCATGCCATGGTGTGCAAGAAAGGGGGCTTCATATGCATGAAGCATGACGACGTAAGGGATCTCACAGTAAAAATGTTGAAGGAAATCTGTCGTGATGTCAGAGTAGAACCGACCCCCCTTCCATTGGAAGGTGAGATTATCCAACATAGGACTTTAAACACATCCAACAAAGCCTGTGTTGACGTCAGTGCTTGAGGATTCTGGACGCGGGGACAGTGAGCCTTCTTCGACATCAGGATTTTTGATCCCATGGCCGCATGTCACCGTAACCAAACTCTCGATGCTACACACAGGAGGAAAGAGAACGACAAGATAAAGGCATATGGGGAGATAATTCAGAACGTTGATCAAGGCAGCTTCACTCCTCTAGTGTTCACAACCTCTGGTGAGATGGGACCAAGTGCAAGATGTTTCTACGCCAGATTCGCGGAGGTGATCTCCGAATATAAGCAGCAGCCCAGAAGTTATGTTACAGGCTGGATGAGATGTTTTGACTTGACTTGACGTCTGTAGATAAGGTAGAAGGCTATTGCATGTTATGATGGGTGGGAGGGCCGGGATTAGGATTTGAAGTACTTTGGTGGCAATTTGGTGGAAGTGTCGACTGTCCTTCTCTCTCCTTAGGTCGGCTTTGCTCTGCCTCAGAGGAAGGAGAGCATCGGCCCTAAGGCCGACAACAGTTGCAGATATTGACTATGAGGCAACAGTCACTGAATGTCGTATAGATCTGCGGCTCAAATAACTCAACGCAGCTAGGATAGCTACTTATGTATTAGGATATTTAATTTTAAGGTATGAAAATGGTGGCGAAGGTGTGGCTATTGGGGGAGGCGGGAGGCCACGTTGAAAAAAAAAAAAAAGTTGTGGTGTATCATGGCGAAGTGTGGTGAGGTAGTGTGGTATTATTATTATTATTATGAGGTGTGGTGTATCATGGTGAAGTGTAGTGAGGTAGTGTGGTAGTGTGGTGAGGTAGTGAGGGCAGCAAACTGGCTCAAACAAACTGAGAATATAATAACAGAGTCTCTACCTGGAAGTATAGGCAACACCCCTTTGTTAGGTTAGGTTAGATTATGTTAAGTTAGGTAAATGTTTTTTCTTTCCTTTTTATGGGGATTAGCGCACCCGGGCACAGGTCACTGACCCACAGGCCCATCTGGGCCTGGGGGGCGAAAATGTAATAATAATAATAATAATAATAATAATAATAATAATAATAATAATAATAATAATAATAATAATAATAATAATAATAATAATAATAATAATAATAATAATAGTAAGGAAATACAAAAATGAAAAAATGATCAAGAGTGAGAAATAATGTACAGTATGTATGTTGTGTTGTCAAAGAAAGAGAAACAATTGAGACCCTGCAATTGTGTGAAAATGAGGCAGAAAGTCAGATCAGCAACCTGGGACTTGGTCACGATTTTCGTGATGCCATATGGCAGCAGCAGGGTCTACCATTAGACAACACATTAAGCTTCCAATATCTTCCCAGGCGGCAGTACCTCCCTGTTTGGTTGCTGCCTACTACCTACTAAATGTTGCATTAGATTATGTTAAGATTGGTTAAATTAGTGTTAGATGTGATTATATTAATTTAGTTGACGGTAGGTAATGGTTAGGTTAGGTTAGGTTAGGTTAGGTTAGGTTAGTGTTAATGTTTGGGTGTTTAATCTTCAGGTGAAATAAGTTAAAGAGAAGAGGACAACGAATCTTCAGGTGACCAGAAAAAAATAGCCTTAAAAAATAGACTAAAACCAAATCTTCACCTGTAAAGAGATCCAGTGGTGACCTTTGTGTAGCGTGACGAAATCCTTGATAGCCGTGACGAAGTGTTTGGCGCTGAGTACATCGTCCTCGAGCACCAAGTAGTAGGTTGAGGGGTGATGCGTCCATACATACCAGAACAGGAATGCGAAATCCAACACCTGAAGAAGGGAGGAAGATGAGGTTAGGTTAGGTTAGGTTAGGTTAGGTGAGTTAGGTAGTGAGAGTGATGGAGGAGGTAGGTTGCTCTCTCTCTCTCTCTCTCTCTCTCTCTCTCTCTCTCTCTCTCTCTCTCTCTCTCTCCACAGTTTAAATAGTATATAGCAACTTGATATTAGGTTAGGTTAGGTTTGGCTAGGCTAAAATAGGTTAGGTTTGGCTAGGTTAAAATAGGTTAGGTTTGGCTAGGTTAAAATAGGTTAGGTTTGGCTAGGTTAAAATAGGTTAGGTTTGGCTAGGTTAAAATAGGTTAGGTTTGGCTAGGTTAAAATAGGTTAGGTTTGATTAAGTTAGATAGGTGAGAATAGGTTAGCTTCATTACGTTAGGTGAGGTTAGTTTACATTGCGTTACCTTAGGTTAGGTTAGGTTAGGTTAGGTTCGATTACTGTAGATGAGTGTATTGAGTGGAGTGTGTTGTTTGGAGTGTGCTGGCAGGAGTTTGTCCGCAGGAATGTGTAGGCAGGAATGTGTCGGTAGGAGTGTGTTGTCTGGAGTGTGCTGGCAGGAGTGTGTTGTCTGGAATGTGCTGGCAGGAGTGTGTTGTCAGGAATGTGTAGGCAGGAATGTGTAGGCAGGAATGTGTCGGTAGGAGTGTGTTGTCTGGAGTGTGTTTGTCTGGGTGTGCTGGCAGGAATGTGTTGTCAGGAGGTATGGTCAGGAATGTGTAGGCAGGAATGTGTCGGTAGGAGTGTGTTGTCAGGAATGTGCTGGTCTGTGTGGCAGGAGTGTGTTGTCTGGAGTGTGTGCTGGTGTGTGGCAATGTGTTGTCTGGAGGTGTCTGGCAGGAGTTGTTGTCTGGATGTGTGGCACGAGTGTGTTGTCTGGAGGTGCTGGCAGGAGTGTGTTGTCTGGATGTGTGTGTGTCGGTAGGAGGTGTTGTCTGGGAGTGTCAGCAGGGAGTGTGTTGTCAGGAATGTGTCGGTAGGAGTGTTGTCAGGAATGTGTCGGTAGGAGTGTGTTGTCTGGAGTGTGCTGGCAGCAGGGTGTGTTGTATGGAGTGTGTCGGCAGGGAGTGTGTGTGCTTGTCTGGTGTGCTGGCAGGAGTGTGTTGTCAGGAGTGTGCTGTGTGCAGGGTGTGTTGTCTGGGAGGAGGGTGTGTGTTGTCAGGAATGTGTAGGCACGAATGTTGTCTTGAGGTGTGGCAGGAGTGTGTTGTCTGGAGTGTGTCGGCAGGTGTGTGTGTTGTCTGGAGTGTGTCGGCAGGAGTGTGTTGTCTGGAGTGTGTCGGCAGGAATGTGTTGTCTGGAGGTGTCGGCAGGAGAGTGTGTGTTGTTGTTGGAGTGTGTCGGGCAGGAGTGTGTTGTCTGGAGTGTGTGAGGCAGGATGTGTCGGTAAGGGAATGTGTAGGTGTGTCGGTAGGAGGTGTTGTCTGGAGTGTGTCAGCTGTGTCAGGAAGTGTGGCAGGAATGTGGGTGGGAGGTGTGTTGGTCAGGAATGTGTGTTCGGTAGGAGTGTGTCGGCAGGAGTGTGTTGTTTGCAGTGTGTCAGGGTGTGTTGTCAGGCAGTGTGTTGTCTGGGTGTGTAGTGTCGGCAGGAGTGTGTGGTTCTTCGGCTTGAGGTTGGCAGGAGTGTTGTGTTGTCAGGTGTGCGGCAGGAATGTGTTGTCTGGAGTGTGTCGGCAGGAGTGTGTGCTTGTCAGGAGTGTGTTGTCGGCAGTGGTCGGCAGGAGTGTCTGTCAGGAGTGTGTCTGGCAGGTGTGTGTTGTCTGGAGTGTGGAATGTGTGGGCAGGAGTGTGTTGTCTGAGTGTGTGGCAGGAAGTGTGTTGTCTAGGTGTCGGCAGGAGGTGTTGTCTGGAGTGTGTGGCAGGAGTGTGTTGTCTGAGTGTGCTGGCAGGAGTGTGTTGTCAGGAGTGTGTGGATGTGGTAGGTCATGTGTGTAGGCAGGAATGTGTCGGTAGGAGTGTTGTCAGGAGTGTGCTGGCAGGAGGTGGTTGGTGGAGGTGGTCAGGAATGTGTAGGCAGGAATGTGTCAGGGAGGTGTGTCAGGAGTGTGTCGGCAGGAGTCTGGAGTCTCAGGAATGTGTCTGGGTGTGTCGGCAGGAATGTGTCGTCTGGAGTGTGTCAGCAGGAGGTGTGTCAGGAATATGTCGGCAGGAGTGTGTCGGCAGGAGTGTGTGTCTGGAGTGTGTGGCAGGAGTGTGTTGTCTGGAGTGTGTGTCGGCAGGAGTGTGTTGTCTGGAGTGTGTGGAATGTGTTGTCTGGAGTGTGTCTGGGTGTGTCAGAGGTACTGGAGTGTGTGAGTGTGTTGTCTGGAGTGTGTCAGCAGGAGTGTGTTGTCAGGAATGTCGGCAGGAGTGTGTTGTCTGGAGTGTATGTCGGCAGGAATGTGTTGTCGAGTGTGTCTGTGTTGTCTGGAGGTGTCAGCAGGAGTGTGTTGAGAATGTGTTGTCTGGAGTGTGTCGGCAGGAGGTGTTGTCTGGAGTGTGTCAGCAGGGTGTGTTGTCAGTGTGTTGTCTGGGAATGTGTCGGCAGGAGTTGTGTTGTCTGTCATGGAGGAATGTGTTGTCTGGAGTGTGTCGGCAGTGTGTTGTCTGGGTGTGTTGTCTGGGTGTGTCGGCTGAATGTGTTGTCTGGAGTGTGTCAGCAGGAGTGTGTCGGCAGGTGGTGTTGTCTGGAGTGTGTCGGCAGGAGTGTGTCGGCAGGAGTGTGTTGGTGGGAGGTAAGTGGCAGGAGGTGTTGTCTGGCGGGGTGTCGGCAGGAGTGTGTAGCAGGAGGTGTTGCAGGAGTTGTCTAGGTGTCGGTCATTGTGTTGTCTGGAGGTAAGTCGGAGTGTGTTGTCTGGAGTGTGTCGGCAGGAGTGTGTCGGCAGGAGTGTGTTGTCTGGAGTGTGTCGGCAGGAGTGTGTCGGCAGGAGTGTGTTGTCTGGAGTGTGTCGGCAGGAGTGTGTTGCTGAAGTACATAGTGATGATAACAAGTACGACAGGGGAATATGTGTGGTCGTAGTTATGATGATTGAAGGCCACTCTGTTTTAGGGCCACACACACACACACACACACACACACCTGTTTGGTCCTCCACTGCACCCTGGCGACGGAGTCATTGTAGGTTCTCCTGATGGCGGTGAAGTCTATGCTGGGGTAGAGGACGGCGGGGGGCTGCAGTACTCGCAGGAGGCCAGACTGTATCTCCCTGTTGTACCTCACACCCAGGTCCAGGGCTCGCTGGGTCCTGCAGAGTGTCAGTAGTGTGAGAGAGAGAGAGACAGAGAGAGAGAGAGAAGAGAAAGGGGGAATAGAGAGAGAAAGAGAGCGAGAAAGAGAGAAAGAAAGAGTTCAGCCATAATAAAAGACCAAACAGACACCATATAACTTAACCCATGACTTTCACTATGACGGTTTGGTCAGCCAGTTGCATGCAATCATTGTCGTAACTAACCGAGACAGGTGTTGGTTAGGTGTGCGTCATGAACTTTTGCAGTACACACGTGAACACTGAACACCTCCTCTGTGGTCACTCATCTAACTACCAATCAATACAAGTGACTTTTAACCACGAGAACCAATCACTTTTTTTTATTTTTTCCTCTGAATTATTATTATTATTATTATTATTATTATTATTATTATTATTATTATTATTATTATTATTATTATTATTATTATTATTATTATTATTATTATTATTATTATTATTATTATTTTTATTATTATTATTATTATTATTTACTTCAATATATCAAGAAGCCTAGTGAATGTAATTTGGTCTCTGTATTTTCTAATCCATTATGGTAGGATTAAATAATAAATCAACTTTATTCGTAAAGCAAGACAGTAGTGTTTTTCGGAAGAGACTGGTTGGTGGTGCGCCAAATTAGAGACACAAAATGATTAAGTTACCGCTCTCAGTTCTCGCCTTCGATTGTCTTGGCATTAAAGAAAACGAAACAATTGAAAGGACTAACCACGCTAAACTATACTTCACACCATGACCTTCTCTCACCCTAAAAATCCTTTGTAGTTTTAGAGGAATTGTCGAGGTATACACACACACACACACACACACACACACACACACACACACACACACACACACACACACACACACACACACACACATTGGAATATCATCACTGGTCAATAATATCACACTCTGTCTTCAGCCTTTATCGGGTGAAGACGTCGGCGCTGCCCGCTGACGTGGCCGTGGTCTCTTGACCATGGAGACAGCTTCCTCCCCATCTGGATTTATCAACATTCTCCCACCAACAGTACAGTGCAAAGATTGACGATCAACCCACAACTGACATACAAAGTGACAATTTCAATTCGAAACAAAGAAACAAATGTTATAGCGACAATCGTGATTAGCAGTCAATGTTGACCTGACACACCCAGTCCGTTGTACACTCGCCACCACTGGATGAAAAGCCAAGAAAGACTCCTAACTACATCAGAAGAGAAATGAGGGCTCCCTACTCCACCCAGGTGAGGAATTTTGAATTTCTAACTACATCACATGAGGAACAAGAACCATCTCCAACGCCACGTGTGAGCTGAAGGACCTTCCCGGATCACGTGGTGGATCTTCAGCTGTAGTGAGGTAGCGGATTAGCAACCAGGTATAACGCAACGGTCATCCAGACAGTGGGCGCCAACATCAGGTCACACGAATGTTTACAAGTCCAGCTCAAACATTGCCAGATCTATAGTTACTCTATATGTTGACTCTTTGTTTCTTATATTTTTGTATTGAAAGCTTTCGTCAATCAAGTGACCCACTCCCCGCTTCCACCATATGTAACTTATCACCTCTGTTCATTGTATATTTTCAGCCTTCGGGCTGCCGTGTTATCTTAATAAACCGTTAATTATTATTATTATTATTATTATTATTATTATTATTATTATTATTATTATTATTATTATTATTATTATTATTATTATTATTATTATTATTATTATTATTATTATTGTTGTTATTACATTTTCGCCCCCCAGGCCCCGATGTAGGTCAGTGACCTGTGCCCGTGTGAGCTAATCCCCGTAAAAAAAAAAAGTACAGATGATGATTTCGTGCCATTAATCACCACACACTGCTTGCGGTCATGTAGAAAGTCTTCTATCCACGCTAGGTCATTTCCCCGAATTCCGTACCCTTCCAGTTTGATTTTCAGCCTTTCGTGGGGTACACTGTCGAAAGCCTTGGCAAAATCTAGGTATATATTGTCGATATCACCACCCATTTCCAGAATATGGGTCCAGATATCCATTACCTTGAGCAAAGGTTGTTTCATAGTAGATGTTTCATCGCGGCATCTCTGATAATACTCTCAAGTACTTTACATATTATGTTGGTCAGGCTCACCGGTCTATAGTTGTTCGTGGAGTGACGATCGCTCTTCTTGAAGATAAGACTCACATAAGCCATTTTCCAATCACTGGGGACCTTGATGGAAGTATGATTGGGTCGGCTTTGTTGTCTTACTCACGGTCGAGAAGACTTATTTGACCCTTGTTTGTCTATAAATCTATCTATATCGATCTATCTGTCTGTCTGTCATCTTCTGTATTCATGTACGCAATACCAACATATGTAATTCACGATAAAAAACATATGCTCTGTGTGTGAGCTCGTGTGTGTGTGTGTGTGTGTGTGTGCGTGTGTGTGTGTGTGTGTGTGTGTGTGTGTGTGTGTGTGTGTGTGTGTGTGTGTGTGCGTGTGTGTGTAATAATGATAATAATAATAATAATTCATAGTAAATAAATTTTATAATCAGAAGTAAAAAATCGAAAATAAAATAATAAAATAATAATGATAATAATAATAATAACACTGTAATAATAATCCTAATACTAAAGAACCATAAAGAAATACAAAAATGAAAAAAAAAAGATCAAAAGTGAGAAACAATATATGTGTTGTCAATAGAAAGAGAAACAATTGAGACCCTACAATTGAGTGTAAATGAGGCAGAAAGTCAGATTAGCAGCCTGGGACTTGGTCACAATTTTTGTGATGCCATATGGCAGAAGGGTCTATCATTAGACAACACATCATGCTTCCAATAGCCTCCCAGGCGGTAGTAGCTCCCTGTTCGGTAGCTGCCTACTACCTGTCACAAGTGGGGTACCACAGGGCAGTGTATTGGGCCCGCTGTTTGTTTGTTTCATAAATAACATGCCTGACGTTGTACACTCCTCCATACAAATGTTTGCCGATGACGCCAAGTTATTGCGGGAAATCAAGAACCAAGCGGACTGTGAAGAGCTGCAGAAGGACCTCTGGTGGGCTCCAGGAATGGTCGAAGAAATGGCTGCTGAGATTCAATGTCACGAAGTATAAGAGGATGCACCTGGGGCGTACCAACGGTAAGGAGGCATATTATATGTCCCAACGGGATGAAGAAACTGCACTAGTTGAGACAGAATGTGAGAAGGACCTAGGTGTGTATGTTGACAATGAGCTGAAGTTCTCGGGCTATTGCGAGAAGAAGGTAAATCAAGCAACTAAATTATTTGGTCTTATAAGAAGGTCGTTCAGATATCTAGACGAAGGGTCCGTCCCTCGTAACGATCTTCAAGAGTGAAGTGTTTCCCCATCTGGAGTACTGTCACCCCGTCTGGTCCCCGAGATATGCGAGGGACTGTCAGTTGGTTGAAAATGTTCAAAGGAGGGCCACCAGACTGGTGCCTGCACTCCGGCACCTCAACTACCCTGTGAGATTGGAGCGTCTGAACTTGCCTAGCTTATACTAATTGAGGAATATAAGCATCCCAAGGGGCACTACTCAGTCGAGTGTCCTTACTTGGAGCTGGCGGATGCTCGCCCCACAAGGGGTCACAGCTCAAGATTGAAGAAGCCGCATGTCCAGAAAACTGTGAGGGCAAACTTTTTCGGAGTGAGGGTTGTGAACTCTTGGAACAATCTACCAGAGAGTGTTGTGACGGCATCGAGTGTGAGCTTTTTCAAGACCAGACTTGACCAACACTGGAGCAGGCTCAGGTACATTCAGGAGCCGGTGCACGCCCAGTACTTGCCAACAGTGCGTAACAGAGACGTGGTGAAGAAGATAAAAGAAAAAACGGGTCAGAAGGATAATCGTTTTAAGTTTCTTTTTACCCTCAATTCTTCTCTTAACTTCAATGACCCGGAAAATAAGACAACAGGGAGGTAGAATATTAATCATATACCGCGGGGGGGGGGGGGGAGGAGCGGAGGGAAGGGAAGGGTGGAGATTGAGGGGGGCTCTAAACCTCCTCTCTGTAAACAAAATCACTACTTGAGATACACCGTCGCTTGCTCTGTCTCGTCCAAACAAGGTTAGGTTAGGTTAGGTTAGGTTAGGTTAGGTGTAATGGGTTAGGGTGAGCCAAAGCACTAAGACGTCAGCAACCAAAACATGAGGAGGACATCAGCAGCAACTGTTCCTGAGATTGATAGTCTGTCAGCCGTCAGCAGCAACTGTTGCTGAGATTGGTAGTCTGTCAGCCGTCAGCAGCAACTGTTGCTGAGATTGGTAGTCTGTCAGCCGTCAGCAGCAACTGTTCCTGAGATTGGTAGTCTGTCAGCCGTCAGCAGCAACTGTTACCTGAGATTGGTAGTACGCATCAGCCGTCAGCAGCAACTATTACCTAAGATTGGAGTCAGCGTCAGCCAGGAGGAGGAAGATCAGCACGTCAGCCCGCTCCTGTTCGGTCGTCTCCTTGAGGATAGAGTCGATGGTCCTCGTGAGGTAGTCGTCTTTCCTCCACACTGACGATATGCCGATGGTGAGGTAACGCATAGACCTGAGGAGAGGAGGTGAGGGTTAGTGGTGAGAGGGTAGAGAGAGAGAGAGACGAGTTAGTGGTGAGAGAGTAGAGAGATAGAGAGACGAGTTAGTGGTGAGAGAGTAGAGAGAGAGAGAGACGAGTTAGTGGTGAGAGAGTAGAGAGATAGAGAGACGAGTTAGTGGTGAGAGAGTAGAGAGAGAGAGAGACGAGTTAGTGGTGAGAGAGTAGAGAGAGAGAGAGAGACGAGTTAGTGGTGAGAGGTAGAGAGAGAGAGAGAGAGGGACGGGTTAGTGGTGAGAGAGTAGAGAGAGAGAGAGACGAGTTAGTGGTGAAGAGTAGAAGAGAGAGGAGAAGAGTTAGTGGTGAGAGAGAGAGAGAGAGAGGAGGGTTAGTGGTGAGAGAGTAGAGAGAGAGGACAAGTTAGTGGTGAGAGAGAGAGAGAGAGGGACGGGTTAGTGGTGGGAAGTAGAGAGAGGAGTTAGTGGTGAGAGAGAGAGAGAGAGAAGAGTTAGTGGTGAGAGAGGAGAGAGAGAGAGAGAGAGGGATTAGTGGTGAGAGAGTAGAGAGAGAGAGACGAGTTAGTGGTGAGAGAGAGAGAGAGGAAGTTAGTGGGAGAGGAGAGAGAAGGAGGGTTAGTGGGAGAGGGAGAGAGAGAGAGACGAGTTAGTGGTGAGAGTAGAAGAGGAGGAAGAGAGAGAGAGAGACAGAGTTAGTGAGAGTGAGAGAGAAGAGTTAGTGGTGAGAGAGGAGGAGGACGGAGTTAGTTGTGTGAGAGAGTAGAGAGAGAGAGAGAGAGACAGAGTTAGTGGTGAGAGGTAGAGAGAGAGAGACAGAGTTAGTGGTGAGAGAGTAGAGAGAGAGAGAGAGACGAGTTAGTGGTGAGAGAGTAGAGAGAGAGAGAGAGAGAGGGAGGGCGGTTAGTGGTGAGAGAGAGGAGAGCGAGTTAGTGGTAGAGGTAGAGAGGAGGAGGTTAGTGGTGAGAGTAAAAGAGAGACGAGTTAGTGGTGAGAGAGTAGAGAGAGGAGAGTAGTGGGTAGAAGTAGGAGTAGAGAGAGAGAGAAGGAAAGGTGAGGGTTAGTGGTGAGGAGAGTAGAGGAGAGAGTAGGTAGATAGAGAGACAGTTAGTGGTGAGAGAGTAGAGAGAGAGAGGTTAGTGTGAGAGAGTAGAGAGAGAGAGAGAGAGAGAGAGAGGAAGAGTGGTGAGAGAGAGAGAGAGAGGTTGTGGTGAGAGTAGAGAGAGAGGGGACGGTTAGTGGTGAGAGAGAGAGACAGAGTTAGTGGTGAGAGTAGAGAGAGAGAAGGGACAGGTTAGTGGTGAGAGAGAGTAGAGAGAGAGAGAGACGAGTTAGTGGTGAGAGAGTAGAGAGAGAGAGAGGGACGGGTTAGTGGTGAGAGTAGAGAGAGAGAGAGACGAGTTAGTGGTGAGAGAGTAAGAGAAGTTAGGTGAGAGAGTAGAGAGAGAGAGAGTAGAGAAGGTGAGAGTTAGTTGAGGAGTAGAGAGAGAGAGACGAGTTAGTGGTGAGAGAGTAGAGAGAGAGAGAGACAGGTTAGTGGTGAGAGAGAGAGAGAGAGAGAGGTTAGTGTGAGAGAGAGAGAGAGAGAGAGTTAGTGGTGAGAGGGTAGAGAGAGAGAGAGAGGGGACGGGTTAGTGGTGAGAGAGTAGAGACAGAGTTAGTGGTGAGGTAGAGAGTAGAGAAAGGTGAGAGTTAGTGGTGAGAGTGAGAGAGGAGACGAGTTAGTGGTGAGAGAGTAGAGAGACGAGTTAGTGGTGAGAGGGTAGAGAGAGAGAGAGAGAGGGGGCGGGTTAGTGGTGAGGAAGTAGAGAGAGAGAGACGAGTTAGTGGGTGAGAGAGTAGAGAGAGAGAGAGGGACAGGTTAGTGGTGAGAGAGAGAGAGAGAGAGACAGAGTTAGTGGTGAGAGAGTAGAGAGAGAGAGAGAGGACAGGTTAGTGGTGAAGTAGAGAGAGAGAGGAAGTTAGTGGTGAGAGATAGAGAGAGGGAGAGAGTTAGTGGTGAGAGAGAGTAGAGAGAGAGAGAGGACGGGTTAGTGGTGAAGAAGAGAGAGGAGAGGTGGTGAGAGAGTAGAGAGAGAGGAGAGTTAGTGGTGAGAAGAGAGAGAGAGAGGGACAGGAGTGGTGAGAGAGAGAGAGACGAGTTAGTGGTGAGAGAGTAGAGAGAGAGAGAGGTTAGTGGTGAGAGAGTAGAGAGAGAGAGAGAGAGGAGAGTTAGTGGTGAGAGAGAGTAGAGAGAGACAGAGTTAGTAGTGGTGAGAGAGAGAGAGAGAGAGAGAGTTAGTAGGGAGAGAGTAGAGAGAGAGAGAGAGAGAGAGAGGGACGGGTTAGTGGTGAGAGAGTAGAGAGGGAGAGGAGACAGGTTAGTGGTGGAGAGAGTAGAGAGAGAGAGGGAGAAGTTAGTGGTGAGAGTAGAGAGAGAGAGGTTAGTGGTGAGAGTAAGAGAGAACGAGTTAGTGGTGAGAGAGTAGAGAGAGAGAGAGAGACGAGTTAGTGGTGAGAGAGTAGAGAGAAGAGACGAGTTAGTGGTGAGAGAGAGAGAGAGAGAGACGAGTTAGTGGGTGAGAGAGTAGAGAGAGAGACGAGTTAGGTGGTGAGAGAGTAGAGAGAGAGAGACGAGTTAGTGGTGGAGAGAGAGAGAGAGAGACGAGTTAGTGGGTGAGAGAGAGAGAGAGAGAGAGAGAAGGTGAGAGTAGAGTAGAGAGGGGAGAGAGATGTTAGTGGGGAGAGAGTAGAGAGAGAGACATAGTGAGAGAGAGAGAGACGAGTTAGTGGGTGAGAGAGTAGAGAGAGAGAGACGAGTTAGTGGGTGAGAGAGTAGAGAGAGAGAGAGAGAGAGGGAGAGTTAGTGGTGAGAGAGTAGATAGAGAGAGAGAGTGGTGAGAGAGAGAGAGAGAGAGACGAGTTAGTGGTGAGAGAGAGAGAGAGAGAGTAAAGAGAAGGTGAGAGTTAGTGGTGAGAGAGTAGAGAGAGAGACGAGTTAGTGAGAGAGAGAGGAGAGAGAGACGAGTTAGTGGGTAGAGAGAGTAGAGAGAGAGACGAGTTAGTGGGTGAGAGAGTAGAGAGAGAGAGAGACGAGTTAGTGGTGAGAGTAGAGAGAGAGAGAGAGAGTAGAGAGAGAGAGACGAGTTAGTGGTGAGAGAGTAGAGAGAGAGAGACGAGTTAGTGGTGAGAGAGTAGAGAGAGAGAGAGAGACGAGTTAGGTGGTGAGAGAGTAGAGAGAGAGATAGTGGTGAGAGTAGAGAGAGAGAGAGGTTAGGAGAGAGAGTGGAGAGAGAGAGAGAGAAAGGACGAGTTAGTGGTGAGAGAGTAGAGAGAGAGACGAGTTAGTGGTGAGAGAGAGAGAGAGAGAGAGACGAGTTAGTGGTGAGAGAGTAGAGAGAGAGAGAGGCGAGTTAGTGGTGGAGAGAGTAGAGAGGAGAGAGAGAAAGAGAAGGTGAGAGTTAGTGGTGAGAGAGTAGAGAGAGACGAGTTAGTGGGTGAGAGAGGAGAGACGAGTTAGTGGTGAGAGAGAGAGAGAGAGAGAGACGAGTTAGTGGGTGAGAGAGTAGAGAGAGAGAGAGACGAGTAGTGGAGAGAGGAGAGAGACGAGTTAGTGGTGAGAGAGTAGAGAGAGAGAGAGAGAGACGAGTTAGTGGGTGAGAGGTGAGAGAGAGAGAGACGAGAGGTGAGAGAGGAGAGAGAGGATGAGAGTGGTGAGAGAGGAGAGAGAGAGAAGATAGTGGTGGAGAGAGAGAGAGAGAGAGAGACGAGTTAGTGGTGGAGAGAGAGAGAGAGAGAGAGTAAAGAGAAGGTGAGAGTTAGTGGTGAGAGAGTAGAGGAGAGAGTTAGGTGGGTGAGAGAGTAGAGAGAGAGACAGTTAGTGGTGAGAGAGAGAGAGAGAGACGAGTTAGGGAGAGAGTAGAGAGAGAGAGAGACGAGTTAGTGGTGAGAGAGTAGAGAGAGAGACGAGTTAGTGGGTGAGAGAGTAGAGAGAGAGAGAGAGAGACGAGTTAGTGGTGAGAGAGTAGAGAGAGAGAGAGACGAGTTAGGTGGTGGAGAGAGAGAGAGAGAGAGAGACGAGTAGTGGGTGAGAGAGTAGAGAGAGACGAGTTAGTGGTGAGAGAGAGAGAGAGAGAGAGACGAGTTAGTGGTGAGGAGAGGAGAGAGAGAGAGTAGAGAAAGGGACGGTTAGTGGTGAGAGAGTAGAGAGAGAGACGAGTTAGTGGTGAGAGAGTAGAGAGAGAGAGAGACGAGTTAGTGGTGAGAGAGTAGAGAGAGGAGAGAGAGTAAAGAGAAGGTGAGAGTTAGTGGTGAGAGAGTAGAGAGAGAGACGAAGTTAGTGGTGAGAGAGTAGAGAGAGAGACGAGTTAGTGGTGAGAGAGTAGAGAGAGAGACGAGTAGTGGGTGAGAGTAGAGAGAGAGACGAGTTAGTGGTGAGAGAGTAGAGAGAGAGAGACGAGTTAGTGGTGAGAGAGAGAGAGAGAGACGAGTTAGGTGGTGAGAGAGCAGAGAGAGAGAGACGAGTTAGGTGGTGAGAGAGTAGAGAGAGAGAGAGACGAGTTAGTGGTGAGAGAGTAGAGAGAGAGAGAGACGAGTTAGGTGGAGAGAGAGAGAGAGAGACGAGTTAGTGGGTGAGAGAGAGAGAGAGAGAGAGACGAGTTAGTGGTGAGAGGAGAGAGAGAGAGAGACGATAGGTGAGAGAGTAGAGAGAGAGACGAGTTAGTGGTGAGAGAGTAGAGAGAGAGAGACGAGTTAGGGTGAGAGAGAGAGAGAGAGAGAGACGAGTTAGTGGTGAGAGAGAGAGAGAGACGAGTTAGTGGTGAGAGTAGAGAGAGAGAGACGAGTTAGGGTGGTGAGAGAGAGAGAGAGAGAGAGTAGAGAGAGAGACGAGTTAGTGTGAGAGAGAGAGACGATAGTGGGAGAGAGAGAGGGAGAGAGAGAGAGAGAGAGAGAGAGAGAGAGAGAGACGAGTTAGTGGGTGAGAGAGTAGAGAGAGAGAGAGTAGAGAAGGACGGTTAGTGG